AAAGGAAGACCTTTAACGGAAGAAACATGTAAGGAAGATTGGAAAGGAAATTGCAGAAACATCCTGAAGAAACCTCACTCTAATTCGACACGTCTCCAACGAAGGGTGAACTGCTTCCAGATGCTTTGTCTCAAGTTTCACATATAGGAGCTTTGTTATACGAGACTTTCAAGAATTTTATTATTGCGAGATTAATTTTCTAACGCCAAGGTGAATTTTCAACCAGGAAAGTGAAATTGCATCTGATCCCATGTGCTATTTTGTTTATTTTTTATGTAATTCATATACAAAATATATAAAAGAAGTAAATAATAACATGAAATATTCTTCAAGAAAAGAAACAGCGCGTACACGCTGTAAAATAAACGAGCCGTGGGGTCGCATCCGACCCCAGTCTTGTCGTTAGAAGGTTAAGAACATCATTACGTACTTAGAATGCTTCGAAGCATCTAACGAAACTTACTTTAAGTAAAACAATAAGACTATAATATCGAAATTTGGCGTGTAATTAATTGTGAAGGCTGATCAATTGGGCAAGAACTACTGAAGAAGAAAATATTTTGCGTTCCCTTTGAAAAAAAAGAAGAAGAAAAAGAGAATGGACTCTAATAGAAAGGAAGACCTTTGACGGAAGAAACATGTAAGGAAGATTGGAAAGAAAGTTGCGGATTCGACGTGAAGGGAAGCGCCTGAAGATCTGTTCACTTCAAGCGATCAGAAGACCTTTCTTTTTTGAGAATTTATTAAAAGAACCGAATCTTGAAAATCCTTTTAGGAACACACTTTCTACATCTCAAGCTGTATTAAAATACAGAAAAAAAAAACCTTTTTGACTCACCAAAGTGGACAGTCCTTAAATTGAATAATCATAACGCGAGTTTATGCGAGAAATCCGCGAAGTCACTTGATGCCGATTCAATGCGTACGCTGGCGCACGATGATTCCTATCGCTCTGACACGAAGACATCCGGCTTGGTCGCCGGTGGTTTCCGATGCTGATGACGCCATTGCCGCCGACAGACGGCTGCGATATGTACATAGGTTATCTGCATGCACGGGTTATAAAGAGCGAAGCGGGCGGGCGAGGAAGGGGCGTGCGTGTAATCCGCGTCCATGTGGTATTCTCGACTTCGATACTACGCGCGTCGTCGTCATCGTCATTGTCGCCGTCGTCGTTGCCGAACAAACTACGACTGGTCTAGTTAAAAGGCGGAAAGAGAAAGAGGACAAACATGACAATAGGAAAGGCGCGGTCAACGAAGCGGCTCCAAAATAATGTATTGAAGATGGAAGGAAAAAATGGGCTACACCCATTATGTCTTCTCGTCTTTATTGGCTAGTTCGCATTTTCACTCCTAATGAATTATCCAATGTTCAAACGGTTTATTCCTTCCCATTTTACCGTTTTTTACGATAAAATCCAGAAGTAAAGCCCAGTGTACGAATTTAGTGAGACGAAGATCAGTTCAGTGTTTGTATCGGTGAAAGTGTGCGATTCTTTTTCCATCTCGACTTTTATCCACGTGGTTTGCAAAAGGATCCAGACATTCCCACTATACATGTTCCGGTAATTTTTTCATTGTATTTGAATATCTCATTACAATTCCTCTTCCTCTTTGTAGCGGAATGTATCTAAGGTAAATTTCGAAAAGGAAGAGTTGTGCAAAGTATTAAAGTTAAGAAGGATAAGATTTTACGGTGAGATCTGTCGGAGCATTAATTCGACGGATAGACTTTATTATTTATATCTTATTTATAATTAAGATTGGCACCGTCGTTAATTTCGACACTTTGCAACTTTCCAGCTTAAAATATTCACTTGTGAAATTCGCCATGATTGTAAATCCCAGCTTGCAAAAATGTCAAATATAGGGGGGAAATAAAGAGGCATTGATAACGCGTTGATATTCGTTTTTTATCAAATTTAAATAACCGTCACACGTTACGCAACCCGCGGAAACCCACAATTTTGCGGGTTACATAAAGAGTTGCAGTTCACGTGGATAAATTACACACCCCGAGATTCAGAACTTACTTGTATTTGCCGTTGGCGGGTTATTTTCCTAACAAGTACTACGCCGGATACGATGATACCAGAAGCATGGATATTAATGTCGCTGTTACTTGAATATTCGCCAGTTATCGCGCGTGCATAGGTCGCGACGCGACACGTTGATTGATTTACGATTAAATTAATAAGTACAAGCCGGGCGTGATCGGCGACCTAACTCGCCCGGCACGTTGATTTACGACCGAACTGCGTTCAAATGCTTTCGAACAAGATTCCGCTTTAAAAAGAAAAAAGTGAAAAAATATATGGTATCTTTACAACTCGTTGACGTTAAAAAATAAGATCAAACGTAATTATTATTGATGTCCTTGTTATTCATGCAATTTTTCCTATACCACGATCTAAGAATATAAAGAAGCAGAAATCGAAAGACGTAGCACTTGGCGCAAAATATATCCCCAGCAGTGCATTCTCACGAAATTGTCATGAAAATTATTTCCATGACAGAGGGAAGTATTTTTTATCCACACACACACACACACACACATACACGCGGGCGCGGAGGTAGTTTGGATATACGTAGAGGCGTAGAATACATAGAAATGTAGAAACGTAGAGTGTCAAGTGGATAATACGCGTCCGAGGCTGACGTGAGTGCTGAAAGAACGTAGAATTTCCAAGGAGAATGTCGACTGGAATGGAGAGACGGTAACTCGCGACTAAGACGAGAGGAAAGACGGTCTTTTGAGCGCGCGCGCGACTCCGTCCCGCTGGAAGACCTGTCACCCGGAAGCGAATAGAGAAACGCGCACGAAGACCTCTCTCGGCGGCTTCTAGTCGCGTCGCGTCGCGTCGACGGAACATTAGCATTTAAAGGGGACGAATTACCGGAATTACTCTCGGAGCACCGCCGGTGCACCAGGGTTGTATTGGCAGTCGCCGCGCGCGCTTTCACCGAACCGCAAAGATATCAGAAGAATGCCGGTTATTTCGGTTGATATTGCCGGGGCACGTTAATAATCTTCCGACTTTTCCGTCATTTCTATTCCTTTCTTTCCCTTTCCCCTCACTTTTATCCTTTCCTTTTTCTTTCCACTTTGCTCGTTGAGTTCCCTCGATGAAAACGGCCGTTTGTCGCCGGAAACACACCCGAGGTCGGGAGAGTTCGCAAAAGTTTTGGAATTTTGAACACTCTTTTTTTTTATCTTTCACTCCGACCCTTTCTCAATGCTCGTTACGTCGCCGATAATTTTAAACGTATTTTGCTCCGCAAAAATCGCGTGGAAAATCGTCGCGTGGAATTCAAAGGCGCGGCCTTTAGTCTCGTTCTGTGTAACGTCGGAGAGGAAACGGCCGACGAAGGGTGGTCCGTCGAAGTCGACGTTGATAAGAGGGCGCCGGAGAAGGATGAATAGAGGAAAATGAGAGAGGTGGGCTGCGAAGGGCGCGTACAGCGAGAAAGGGGCGAGGGGGTAGGAGCGGCGAAGGGGGAGAAGAAAGCCTTTCTAACGTAATTCCATGGAGCTCGCCGGAAGAACCCGGAACCCGGAAGTAAGGGAGGAAGCACTACCGTCGGCCCGAGGGGATGGATGAGGGTAGGGCGGTCAAGGACGGAGGGTAGGGGCATGGAAATTTCTCCGGTGCTTCTCCATGCTAGGGCTCTATCGATCGTCGAGATCGCGAAGGCGAGACCCCGCTCAGTTGACTCGCGAAGAAAATTCCTCGACCTTGATTAACCGTGTGGATTAACGACGAGTCAAATTTACTTGCTTGCTCTTGCTCGATTTTTTTCTCTATACCGTCTAATTCGAAGACTTCGTTTTTGAAGTGGAGAGTCGTGAGCCACGACGATGTATTTTTATTTTTGTCCTCCGGAATCTAAAAATGATTGTATCGAAAACAATTTTACAGTATATTTTATGACAGTGAATCTCTTATCGCCGTTAAAAAACACTTTTCCGTGTAAGGGGTGAAGGACCTCAAACGCGCGGTATTACCTCCATCACTTTTGCGAAAGAAAGGGAGGTGTAAGATGCGATAATATTTAGTTTGATAAATATCAAGCACTTAGTCGATAACACTTGTGTGAATAATTTACTCGCAACGTGGAATAAGCCGTAATTTACGAACCTGGTTATACCGAGTTGTCCGTACCCCACCAGATTGTTTCAGAGTTTTACACAGTTTTCGAAGGAAAACTTTGCATACGAGAACACAAGCGCGACACTGGGCCAGACGAACACGATCGATGCTGACGAACGTAACGCGAGTAGGACAGAGCTTGAACCGCGTCGATTCCGGGAAATTCTAATCTTATATTTATAACCAGATTACTTTTTTTCGCGCGTGCAAAAGTGGAACGCGCTTAACTATGCGGAAACTACGCGTTCTCATTGAAAACGGGCAATTGTTTTAAATAAATTAAAACGAATCGACGGTCGTTTAACGGCGATCTAGATTTTCCTTTCTTTTCGTTGCAATATTTTTCGAAGGAATTAGATAACTATCAATTTTTCGACGGATTACACAAAGTATACTACTGCTTATTACGTTCCTTTTAAATTGTTTTCGTGAAGTTCATAGGAATTTTTCATTTTAATTTTTGCCGATGAATTTTCTTTGTATAGGAGGACCCGCGTAGTAGCTACCTGAAACACGCGTTGCGTTGACATCGTGGCTCTCCAGGTCGTTATTATGCAAGAGATAATCGGTGTCTGTCACGCGTCGACCGATTATCGCGGATCCGACGTGTATTTTAGTCGTCGCTGTCATCGCCATTGCGCCGATAATCGTTTATCGGCTATGACAATGCGGAGATAGCGAATGTCGCGAATGATTTTCACCTTTCGTCCAAACCGACGAAAGCCCGTGTTGCAATGATCAGAATCGGTTTCGGCCCGAATTATATATTCGGAAGGCTATAAATTTAGAGGAGAGAATAAAAGCAACATTTAAAAATTTTAAATATTTATAATTGTGAAATGATAAAAGCATATGAAATGTCTGTCTAGATAAATTTAAAATATTAAAGTACCGAATATATAATATTTAAATGGTCGAGAGTGGCGAGCGGCCGTCCGCGGAATGCAGCGTACTGTGTCACGTCGCACGCGTTACACAATATACGCGAGTCGTAAATGGGAATTGCATTTATCGTCACATAGCAGCAACGGCGTGTGTGATACATTTGGTCACACGAGCAACGATACGATTTCCGCGCGCTTTACAGCTACTGTTACATCTTTATTACACGAGCGGAACGCGATCTTTAACCCGTTTTAATTAAGTTTCGTCCGTTGCATCCGGCCGGCTAATTCCCGTCAACCGTATCGCATGGATGCATCGATTATAAATCGTGCCGAGATCCCGCTATCATTGATTTATCTTGCTTCTGTGAACCTTCATTTCTTGCACTTTCGTAATTCGTATTTTAATCTCTTCGGAAGCGCAATCTCTGTATATTTATTTATACTTCAATTCAAAAAACAAACATATTTACACTCGCGCATCAAAAATACGTGCAATATCCAAATTTAGATTAACTTTGTCTATACGCATTATATACTATAATCCTAACAGGGGAATGAGAGGTTCATTGTGTTTTCGTTCGGACGCTTCACAATGTTGTATTTTAAGAAAGTTGCTTTAGGAAGAAGTCGCGATTTTCACATTCCTTAAATATTCATTTAGCTCGCTCACTTTTTACGACGAAAAGTACCTTTAAGTGCGCGCACGCCTTCCCTCGGAGGTGCTTTTACGCCGAAAAAATGATGAAATAGTGCTTTTTATAAAAGATTAGTAAGGTGTATGAGTGCCATTAAATCTGTTTGCCCGTGCTCGGAGATTTTGCTCGACGCGGATATTCGCTGGGCGGGAAGATAGATCCTTTTATCTCTCTTCCCTCCACCTCCTCCTCTTCCTTGTCGTCGTCCTCCTCCTCGTCCTCCTCCACCTCGTCTGTATCGCGAGAACGGGAGAACCGGTCGGTATCCGGACCGGAAGCACGGACCTTGGACCTCTCCTTCTCTTTTTCTCTTCTCGGGAGGCAGCGAGCGGTGGATCTCCGGTCTCGCGCGATCGCTCCGGGCTTCGTCCTCTTCTTCTCTTTCTCTCTTCCTCTTTTCCGCGTGTTCCCCTGTTCCCCCTTCGCGTTTTTTGTTCTCCATTCCCCTCCGTCGTCCCGCTCTGCTTCCTATCTCGGCTCTCTTCCTCGTCTATCTTCATGCGTCTGTACGTATCCTGTTTCTCCAATTACTTTTACGTCCTTTTATCGTCCACCTGTGGTACATAACGGATACATTTACGTTATAAAAGGTGTCTCACTACTCGTGGCAAGTTACATCTCATACCTGCGATGGTGATCTGTCGGTGAATTTGGGGTTAACTTTTGTCATGGTCCTTTAAATTCTGGAATTTTTTTACATTCCTTTCGTAAGGCATGTTAACTGTCTTCGAAAGCATATCTAAGAAAAAGTCATGGTCACGGTTATATAAAAGAACCTTGTTAATAATATTTCCCAGTAGAAATTTAATGTGACAGAAAAAAATGAAAGTTACCCTTATCGACCCGAGGATTCCCATCATTTATTTCACGCCATTGTATGAGGCCTATTGCGTGTCCATAAATTATATGACCTTCGTTCCTCTTTCATCTTCCGTTCCGTACCTCTTTCCGGTCGGAACTTTCCGGACCCATTTCTTTTCTTCTTCCGACCGAAAAACCAGGCAAGAAGATGCCGGACAATGAATGATATCCGACTACTCTCTTTATCACACGAACCCGTCGTTCCGACCTCTTACCAAAGATCCGTTCTTAAGGTTAAGGAAAAAAGATAAGTTGTGTAAAGGACGTGAGAAAAAACCGAAAATTGGTGAGATTTCGTCGACGTTGCTTTAACGGAAACGATATGCTCTTCCTCTCAGTTTTCTCGTTCTATTTTTCTTCTCAGTTATTCTCGCTTTCTTTTCTCTCAATTTTCGATTCGTCAGTCGGAAAGACCTTGGAGAAAATTTTAATGTCGTAAGGTAGGAGGTTAAAAGTTGTAACTAAGAAAAGTTGATTAAAGAAAGTATGTAAAAATTAGGCAGACTTGTCATTAATCTCGATGTAGAGAAATATAATGAAAAGTTACAATGCACCGATGAGGTTCAAATACGAAGAATTTGTAAAAATATAACACAATACAACGTTATAGCAAAAATAGGGAAAATCCCGAAATTGCGAAATTCCAGAAGAAAATCGCGAGACGTCATTTAACATATTATCTTATGATAACGTAACTTATTTAAGAATTATGTGCTTGTCAGATATACTTGTGCCTCTTCGAACCTCCACAAGATGGTATATTGGCGAATCTTAAGAGCCAATATTGTGTTTCCGACAAATAAGTAAAATGCGGACGCTTCCATTAGCGAGGAGAAATATTTTAAAGAAAGAAGACTTCCGTGACTGGTTTCAGTACGTCGTGGAATATCGCGGAAGTGGAATATTATTCCCGACGAGGGGAGGGATTGAAAGAAGTTGCACAACGGCTCGGGTCGCTTTGAGGATCGCGTCGCAAAATCTCGCGAGAACTCCTCGGCGCCTTTATCGCCCGCGAAATTTCTCTCCGCCGCGCTGAAACATTTTCCGAGTTTACAAAGAGAACGGGCGGAACGCTTTTAAATCCGGCACGCTCATTCCGATATCTTTACGGAGGAAACGACAAAAGTAGGAAATTCTTCGATTTATTCCCTTCGAATGTGCGGCGACTTTATTCGACTTCTGCGCGCGTTTTACTCGTTGAATTGTTAATCGAGGGGATGGAACAACTCGTCCGCTAATAACTCATGCTGTACATGATAATCGCGGGTTAACCCTTTTACCACTAAAACATTTATCCAACATTATCGTTACCTTCGGGGTATATATAGGAGTGAAAATACGGAAGCATGTGCATGCACGTGCTACAATTTATCTTACACGCGCGCGTCAACGTCGTACGTATTATCTTCCTTTTTAGCCGCGCCGCAAGGGGTAAGAGGCGCTTCTTAATAGAGAATAAAATTCATTACCCATTAAACGGATTTGCATGAGTAATGCATTATGCAATTTTACGACGTTATACTGTTATATGGTATATTACGTCGAAGTTGCTCTGTCCTTTCGAAGCCTCCGAAAGCCTAATGCGTTACGCTGTCGATCTCGTCCCTCTCCCTCTCTCTTCTCTTTATCTTTGTTGCTTTTCCCTCGTCTCTCGTCTCTCCTCTCTTTCCTCTCTTCTCTTCTCTTCTCGTGTTTCACGCATACGGCGCGCTCGCGCGCGTACTTTCTGGCATTCCTCACCGTCGAAATAACTATTATTACGAGTCGGATCCGGGACAAGAGACGACGATAGTCTCCTCCTTCCTTCTTCTCCTTCCTACTCCACCATCCCTCTCACCGCTCGGCCGACCCCACACAGAATTCACGGGGCTTGTTTTATTCTCGCCTCGTATCGAGTCATCTTCGGCCGACCGACGGGACGCACTCAGGACACACACACTCAGTGGTTTACCGGGCGGCCGATAATAATTACAACGAAAGTGGGTGAAACTTCGAACTCAAAATTGAGCGCAGCGCAATAACGGCTCTTGAGATACGTGAATTGTCGCGCGCGATACGCCGACAAAGACGTGTGTGATGGAAATAGCGCTGAATTTTCTAACGAACGCACATTTTCTGTACCACGTACGTTATCACGTAGCGCTGATTGTTCAAAGGCAACGAGAGAACTCGAGTGACTTAATTCTCTTCTGACTTAATTCATCGTTCATTATACGCTTCTATTATATTGCACAATTGTAGTTCCCCATAATACCTTACAACGTTACCTTACATTGTTAACCCATTCCTTTCCCTCTCCTCATTTCGCTCCTTTTATCGTACATATTTCATTTAACAACGAGAGCGAGATCTTCCTACAACCTACCTCTCCCCTTCCATCTCTTCGCGTTCCTCGTTAATCCTTGAAAAAAAAAAAGAGAAAAATCCTCCTCGTCTATTTTATTTTTACTTTATTCGCATCTGTCCATTGATCCGAGTCCCAGCAACGGAGACGACATCCTATCGTTATTGCGACACGATGATGGGTGGCCTTTTATCGGAATGGGTGGCTGCGACGATACAGCCGCACACCGTCACACGCACCTACGACCGCATTATTCCATTACGATAAATAACCCGGCAACCAATCGTCCTTCGGCGTTACTTCCCGGGCTATTGGGGACACTTTTCCGTTTTACCAGAGCGCACGACACACTCGCGACGCGAGTCGTCTCGTGTTTTCTACCGCGTTCGCCGCAATAACCGGCTGCCTCTTGTCGCGATTCCTCTCCCGCGCGACGCATACCTCGCCGCTTCTATTATTATAGCACACACTTCCTCCTCGACATATTTATATTCACGCCGACAGATTTCGCGTTCCTACCGGCCCGTTTCCTTCCACGACCGGGGACGCTTAAATTTAATAGGCTATCGGTATTTGCGGACGAGGCGGTCCCCCTTTCGTTCAACGTCGCGGAAATCGTCTCCTACCTGTTTTAGATATTGATATTTTGCTGCGTTATCTCGAGGTTATTAAAAAAAGGGTAAAGAAAAAGCCGACGTAGTTATAAATTAATGTAACAATATCGACGATTTAATTAATGTGATGTGTACCAATTATAAATTTATCTTTAGAAAATTATGAATTTACAATTGAAAATTTCACGGAAAATTATACATTTCATGAAATAATCCAAAGTATATTTCGAAAACGATAACAACTATATACATTTATATGCGAGCTTGTTAATGTCCACGATACTTTATATTCATTGTTTCTTATAAATATTAATGATACTTATTACGTTTATTGCGCTGATTTCCATTAGTTGCACAAAAATATAACCGATGGTTGAATTATTAAAAATACACCGAACAAGTATAATTCAGTATGTCTATATTTTATTTTATCGACTTTCTGTTAATTATATAACTAATTTATTTTCGACGAAAGTACTTTATATGTAACTTAACACACTTTATATGTAACTTAACACAAGTACTTTATATGTAACTTAAGGAGACGTGTTACTATTATAGTGCTCAGTCATCCATGCTTCGCAGGGCGTTTAATATGTTGATTAAAATAAGGGACAAAGTATCGGCTCTAAGAATACTCCATATCGGAAATATTCATATTCATCGTCGTTTTCCTTGTAGCGTCTCCGCTCATCGCTGCCAAGTTCTTCCCAGCTTCTTCGCAGATTTATAATATCGATGTTGCTTAACGATTCGCGATCTCACGGACGAGATGGCGAGACAATACGACTCTCTTATGTAACGTCTAGAACAGTGTCTCCCGGACGATGAAAATAACACTTCCGTGAGAAGCGATGCTACGACCTCGTTCATTAGCTCGTTATCATCCCCGACTATTTCTGGTTTACCTTCTTAGCTCCGATTGAGAGCTTCATATTCTTTTATTCGAGAGGTAGGCCTCAGATCGACTCGGAAGAGGATTGGTCTTTCTCTTCGTTTGTCTTCGTACGTCGCGTTCGGCAAGCTTGTTTTCTTCTGTCTCTTTTGCGGTGGAAACCGACAATTCGTGAAATATTATTTTTCCTTGGACAATTTGCTAAATACAATTTCGAAGACATTGGATAAGCAGTACCGGCAAAATTATGAGAATTGGATCGCGAATAATTTTTAACTTACAAATAATCGTGTCCGACGTTCCAAGTCGACAATAACACAACACATACGTGCGCTATATTCGCAGAGAGAGAGAGAGAGAGAGAGAGAGAGAGAGAGAGAGAAAAAAGAGCGTAACACTTCGTTCCCTACCTTTAAAGGGGCGTCGTTTTGCCGCTCTAAATAATCTCTCCCTCGTGAAGCGGCCGTCGATCGGGCATGTCCCCTCGATGCTCGTGTGATATCGATTAATACCGGGCCGGTCACGTGGCCTACTGAATAATTTTACGCGAATCTATTTTGATGTGCCGGCCATCGTTTATTCATACAGCTGACGTAAAACTTTCCGTTATCTGTGCCGGGTCGATGCATACGCCTGTGACAAAATAGTTTAGCATACTAATTACTTCTTGCGCGGCGCACATCAGCCCCGAGCACGTTCGTCGTTGCACGAATGAGAAACGCGCGGTGAGAGATGTCGGACGCGCACCGTTGCGCGCCGTCCCGTGCTTCTTGTTAAATCGTACAAAAGCGAACGTATCGGTTGCAGCCGGAGAACGGTGCGAAGAGGATTCAGTTACACTCAATCTCTACTCGACCCTTGCCCGGCGAGAATTCGCATTGCGATGTAAAAATTGACGAATTATGCGAATCACAATTCAAATGATTCAACAGACCAGTCGACAAACGCTTCTTTATATTTATTATACACAGAGGAGAAAGCATTAAAATCAAATAATATTTTTGTCAATTTAAATATATTTGAAATGAATATTCGTGCGGTAAATGTTCAATTGTTTTAAGAAAATACCACATTGTATATAATCAGTTATATTTCTGTTTTTAGTGAATATTTTCTTATTCTCAATATATGTGTAATAATTACACAATAATTTTTTTGTGTTTATCAATTTTTAGTGTCGCGATTATTCGTCACGTTACGGATCAAACGAGCGAGCCCGCGAGCGCTCGGGCATTTTTAAACGAGATGAAATGAGGGGAGGTCGGACGAAAAATTTGGTCGGTTTTAGCGCAACCCGAGTGGGCGGTCGTCGCCGCGCCGCACTATTGTTTCTCATTGCCCGACGCGGACGCTTCCTGCTGGCAAGCACTTCCTAGTGGCGTATTTATACACCTACCAGACGCAGATCCGCGTTCCTGATACACACCGCTGTCCCCGACGGCGATTCCTTTGGCTTATATTAGGCGCGATCGTCTCCGCGACCCGTACACGCGACTCTCGGGATCTTGATTTAGCGACACGGAGGTGGGTCTCTCTCTCCTTCGAGCCAATAAACTCGATAAATCCGGCGCGCGTCCGCCGGTATGGTGTAACTAATTTAGCACAGTCGAGTAAAACACACGCGAGAATTCGGCGTTCTTCTTCTGATCCGATCGATTCGCCGTTTTATTTCCGCTTTTGTATTACGTCGGACGCGACTTATATATGCTTATCCAACCCGTAAAAACGCTCATATTACATATTTATCTCCGTGGAGAAGCCTCGAATTGATTTGAGTAATCCTTCCCGAACAGTGGAAGCTACTTTTGTATTATGTCACGTTTTCTTCCTCCAAAATGTGCAAGACGACGGAAGTCTCGAGACCATTCGCATAGTAAGTGCTTTCGTAAAATTTCCCGAACTATTTCAAGGGCGTAGTGTGCAACTTGCTCCCATGTTGTGAGAAGAATACAAATGACAAGGAAAAGTGCATTCAGGTAGGAAAACTCAAAGTACTTTCCAACTAAGCTTTCTAGGGAACATGGAAGTTGCATATATTTGCATATTAAATTTGATTTTTTCCCCTTGTATTTTAAAATTCTCTTCGATTCTTCTCTTGTTTCCTCTTTCTTTAAGTATATTATGTGCTTCACGCTTCAACTGCTAATCATTATTAGCTGTCGATCAGCCGGCTATTCGCTGACTCATACGTTTCGTTAATTTCGGCTTCTTTCGAGCTGAAATTCTATTTGCCTTTTAATTGTCTTTCCCGGAATAAAATGAAGCAGAAGGACGGATCAAACATAAGGCGCTACTGTTAGTAGAGAGTAATATTAACACACCAGTGCCAGATACTGGTTGGGATAAATCAGCGGCTAATGATGCAAGTTCATTATCGCCAATTGCATCTCTATTCAGCGTTGATCATTAAAGTTCACCAAAGCGAGTATTTCGTCGACGTGTTGTACAAATTCGTTTGTTTTTTTCCTCCTCGTCGCTCTTTTTCTCTTCTTCTAACCTCTTTCTCTCTACTCTAAGGAGCTCTTCGCTATGGGCACATATGTTTGTATTTAAAGTTCTCGGAAAAGAACTTATGGCTACTCTAGTCTTTGCTTGTTTTCCGTTTCTCTTCGTGAGGAGTGTCTTAATCGACCATAGGTGATGGTCCCTTGAATTGTCAGAAGGGACACCACAGGACACTTTCATTTCTTGTTCTTATTTGCATCTTATGAGAAGTCAGCTGTGTAAAAGACAGTACTTTCAGACGTTATCCATGAGACCATAGATAACAACTATATACGTGCGTGCATAGATGTCAGATGTCTTTAATTTATTTAAGCAAAAATAAGAGGGAGCTTTTTAATACGATAAAATGATGTGAAACTATTTTTTCACAATGTAATAATTTGAAAAGTCCATCAACCGTGTCTGTTGATTCAAATATTAACTTGTTTGGATAGTTCCAGTGGATAATATATTTGAATTCCATAAAATTGATTAAATCCAAAGAGATTTTTCTCTGTGTAAAATCGTAGTGGCGAGAAAAGACCACGTTATCAAACAAGATGTAACCAATAATTTCATACATTTAAGTAATAACTGAAAAAGTGCCTCAGGAAAGTGCGAATTCAAAACCGAAAAGAAACTCCAGAAATATAAACCTAAGTTCTTTCTAGTTATTCCGATCATTGTATCCGACTGTGACGAAAGTAATAGACGGTCGTGCTGGTGGTTTTACAGACGTCATTTTCTACAAATTTTAGGGAAGTGTGTCAAGTGCTTTTATACACGACGATTTAACTCGAACGAAACTATTCATGGAAAATTTGCTATCGGCCGATGGAATGGCCCCTTAAAGGACCTCTCGTTTCTACGCGGGAAGCGTTAAAACTCGCGGAACAAAGAGCCTTCTTGAGACGAAACAACATCAACGTCCGTTTCATATGGCCGACACTTTGGGGAAGACGAGCTCTCGAGACTACCGCGTGGCTGGTTCAGAAAGAGGATACGTAGGCAAAGTGCATTACGCGAGAAAGGGGCGAGACGGGGGTAGCGGTAAATCCCCTCGGGATGGTCTCCGAGTTTACTGGACCACTCGAGGAGTAGCTGGATGATGAGCGGGCGAGCGAGCGAGCGAGAGAGAGAGAGAGAGAGAGAAGGAAATAGCGAGGAGGAACGAGAAAAAGAGAGAATGTGAGACAGAGAGAAAGAGGAGCGGGTGATACGTAGAAGACCAATAGAAGAGCGTGGAAGGAGGAGGCTGTTTCCCATGACGAGGAGCTGGTGGCGAATGACGAGGGTGAACCGGGCTTTTTATCGACTTCCGGTCGGCGTAACTTGCATGCACGTGCATCGGGGCAACCTCGTTGCTCTCTTTGTGGCCGCCAGGAGTTCTCAGTCGAGCGCGCCCCGCGCGTAACAGGTTGTCGATTTCTCGTCGCAGCCGGCTGGCTGGCTGACATTCCCGATACACATCATCTCGGCGCAACCTCGGCGAGTTGCGCGATAAATACGCGATAATCCTGTAAAGCCGGATATGCGACTATATCGGACGCGGAGGAAGTCTCGACCTTTCTCGAAAAATTCCCCAGGAAGATTGCCGCGTCGTATGACGACGCTATATTAGTCGCGCGGGATTCTCCGATGATGCGGACGGCGTTACGCGACTCGACCGCTGAGGCCACACGTAAAAACTCACCATTTAAAAGGATGTTATTAGATCCGCTTCCAAGG